ACAAGAGGACTAGGACAAGCAGGTGGAATGGGCGGAGCTGGTGCTGGGCATCATGACCTTTACAAAAAGCCAATGGGACTGGGGACCAGGAACCACACAATGAGACATCAATGAGGCCCAATGATGAACAATATATAAATATCTATTTGCATTATGTCTTTTTGATCTGATCAATATTTTTTCCTACCAGAATGGACCAGTTTTATGCTTTGAGCCCAATGGGGAGCTCACCCTGCAACCCTCACCCGAGACACTGGCTGCGCAGAGAGCCCACGTGGGCCAGATTGGGATGGGTACACCATGCGAGGTCAAGGATCCGGTGGCGGTCTGGATGGAGGCCACAAGCAGAGTGATGGCTCAAGGAGGAGACCCCCTGAAGAGGCAGGGCCAGAGGAGGAACATGACCCCACTATTTCCTCTTTACACCTTACTGACAATCCCCTCACACTGCACTTCTCACCCGCCGTGGCAGAGCCCCCCTCACGCTGCACTCCTCACCCATCGCGGCAGAGCCCCCCTCACGCTGCACTCCTCACCCATCGCGGCAGAGCCCCCCTCACTCTGCACTCCTCACCCACCGTGGCAGAGCCCCCCTCACTCTGCACTCCTCACCCGTCGTGGCAGAGCCCCCCTCACACTGCACTCCTCACCCATCGCGGCAGAGCCCCCCTCACGCTGCACTCCTCTCCCACAATGGCAGACCAGCCATAGCAGTCAGGTGGCCAGGAGATTGCAGGGTTGAGGCTGAACTGCTGGGCTGCCATCTAGCAGGACTACAACAGGATCAGACAGCTGGTCCTGAGTAGCCTGGGGCTCATGCAGGCCACATCGCTTCAGCTTTTTGAAATAAACCACATTTTCCTCCCCTCTAGCCCTTATCAGCATCACTGACACCTTGACCACCCATAGCCCCCCGCCGACACCTAGACCACCCATAGCCCTCCGCCGACACCTTGACCATTCATAGCCCGCGCCGACACCTCGACCAGTAATAGCCCCCCCGCCGACACCAAGACCACCCATAGGCCCCCACGACACCTTGACCACCCATAGCCCCTCGCCGAAACCTCGACCAACCATAGCTCCCCACAGACACCTTGACCACCCATAGGCCCCCACGACACCTCGAACACACACAGCCCCCTGTCGACATCTTGACCAGCCATAGCCCCACGCCGACACCAAGACCACCAATAGTCCCCCTCGCCCAGCCATCTCCCACCTGTACGAAAAGCACATCATCCGTCATGCGAACAGCATAGTGAAGGACAGCAGAGAGTATCATCTGTGTCCCTCTCCCAGCCTTCTCCCACCTGTACGAAAAGCACATCATCCGTCGTGCGAACAGCATAGTGAACGACACTTCTCGCCCCTCACATGCACTGTTCTCTCTCCTGGCTTGGCTCTAACAAGCCATGTTTGGTGCTTGTTGGTCTCACATCTCATTCCAGCCCTCATGTTAAACACTCCCAGCTGCCTCCAGTCTGTTCCATCATTAGTCCTGTATTTAAGTGCTTCCTGGTCCTGTGTTCCCCAGTTTGATCATTGATGTTGTGCCCTACGTGTTGCCTGTTCCCTGGCCTCTCATCCTGATCCCAAAAAGTCCCTGTTTGTTGCCTGACAACACCTGCTCCACGAGTCTTTCATCCCGGTGAACACGTCACAAACCACCAGTGACATCTCTGTGGATCCCAGAAATATCAGCCTAGCTGCACGGCGGCATGTTTGCAATGTCATGTTTGCCTCACTTGTTCACTTGTTACTAGAAATGTAAATGTAATGATATGCAAGTGAGTATGTTTGCTTTGAAGGAACAGAGATCATATCTGCTTAGGTACAGGGCACAGAAACAGGTAAATCCTGTAAGGTAACGGTCTTAAAGTCAGCATAAATTCCAACACAGTTCTGGAATATGAAGTTCATAGTCAGTCATAATTTTGTGGCTTTAAATGTGACTTTAAATAAATCCTAACA